CCCTATAATAGTGATAAGGGTGGTTGCCCGTATCTGAATCCACAACCCTCGACAGCTAGTGCGCTCCGCCCGTCAAGTGGCGTGATGTGGCCTGCGATAAAGCTCGTGAATTAGACTATCTGTCTCCTCATTGCTCAGATATGATACTCGAGTAGACGGATGCGGTTCTCCCCCCCCTCTCAATGAATGTAAATGGCCAGCCCCAGCGCCTGGAGTTAGTAATAGCTCGGGCTCGAGGTGGGGGGGAAGGGGGGCGCAGTGCCCTCTCCTGGCAGATGTAGATTTAAATGCCGCCAGTGAGTGAGAGTAACCACTGGTGGAGACAATCCAAGTGCTTGTGTATAGTACCGTAGAGTGTGGATACCGTATGCCACAGAATCCGGTATAAGAGTTTAATTGGTCCGTTTACCTGTGGTTTAACTTAGCCTGCCATCTCGGATTTGGAGATCGTGTCGCTAAGGTATCCCGAAAACCCTACAAAAGCCGCGTCATCATCATGACCACCGTCGTCTAGCCTAGGATATCTCAGAATCAGCAACGATAAGTGAAGGAAGAGACAATGAGGTGGCCATGCAAGGACACTTGAGCATTTTGAACCTCTCCACCCACGGCACACTCTTGCTTGATCCGCTGGGGCACCGTAACCATTGACGTGCGGTACAGTAGAAACCGGAATAATTGGACCTCGCCCCGGGGCGTTGGAGTTGCCTCTCCTGGTAAGGCTGGTCGTGGTTTTCCTTTCGCCTGTCTCAGCTGAGGGCTGAAAGACAGTTTTTTCGCTGTCCCATTCTTCCTCTAATCCGAGGAATTTCGAGACAACTTGTCCTAAGGTCCAGTTATACTAGTTTTTAGGGTATCTAAGGTCTAATCACTAATCAGCAAATACCCGACGCACCATGCTCCTGGGCGGGGCGATTGTACGAGTAAAGAGCGAATGGAATGTGGTGCGTGATGCCCCCTGCTACCGCCGAAGTACTCGTAAAGTGTTAGCCCTCCCGCAATACTATGGTTGAACAAATGAGCGAATGAGATACCGTAGCCCGCCTCCGCCCAGATTGCCGAGCAGCGACTCAGTCCCCCCTCAAGATATCCACTCGAATCCTCGTTTCTCAACCTCTCTCACCAGCCGAGTACTGTACAAGCCCATCTACCCTTGTGAAAGTTTATCCACCGGACCCGGCCGTTGTTGACGATAAGGCCTCAATCGGCAAAGCCCCCGAAGGCACCACGGGGATCCGCCTCCTTGGGTGTGATAGCACACAGACGTGCTATGTGCGACGTCACCTCGCAGAGAGGAAAGGGGGAAGGAAGGAGGGGGAGGGGTAATGATGGTGAAGATGTAACTATTAGCTTCTCTGAAATATAGGATAGAAATGTATCAATATCGATTGATGTAATTCCCATCCCGAATTCCCGTGGGTTATTCTGAGTATCAGGTTGGGATATGAAGCTGGAACACCGGGTACCGGTATGGTATTGTGCACTGTTGGTGATGGCGGTCTGATTGGCGGAGTGCGCCGAGGTATCGTATCGCACAATAACGATAAGTTAGCTCAATCGCGGGGAAACAAGCGGCAGAGTAGCCAATACGCTAAGAGCACAGGCACTACAGGCACGAGATTCTCAAGAAGTATAGCAACTCTGTAACTACAGTACTGATACCTTAACTGTACCAAACCCTGTGGTTTTCCTTGGTTTATCCACCTATCCGACCATCCCTTCATTGTTTCTAAGGCACAGGAATGCCGCACATATGTATTGTATTTGTAGAAACCCCTAGCCCGTTGCCCACCACATGCAGAAGTACTCGAGTAGCCGGAATCCCAACCTTAATATTCCATTGTATGATAGCCCTCAAAGTGCCACTATTATATCAACACCTAACAGACCGCCTACCGTGCCGCACCTGCACGGTACTTCTGCACCACGAGAGTAATAGGGAAGTTCCGACGCGACCTCCGAAGTCGGAGACCGGGACCTGAATGAGCCACTAAGCACAAAAGCTTTATCCGTTATAGTAAGGCTTCATTGCACAGGCACCCCGCAGGTCACTTGAAAACCACGGCACGGCACCGTACTCTACCCTACCACCAAAACCTTGGGTGAGCACTGTGGACGGTGCTCTGCTCTACTGTACTGTACTCGGGTACGGCGCTCTACCGGTAGCACACACCTCCGCCTTCTCTTGTACTGCACCTACCACATCCACACACAAGGACCCGTGCCCCCTCAAGAAAGCGCTTATCTTTTCAGCGAGGACCGCTCGCATACAGCACCGTAAATTTAAGTATCGGTACTTGAATGCCACCGGTACAAGTACAAGAGAAATATGCTGGACGTCCTATTTGGCTCTCGCAGCATAGTAAGGTGCTGTGTATTCTTTCCTTTCCTTTCTTTTCTTTCTGTCTCAACTGGGGGCTGAGTTTGCGGGGATTCCTTTGCAGGGCCCCCACAATACCGGTATCCCAGAGAGGGAATTTCAACCACTTATCAGAGGACATTCCTCTTCTATTTAGAGTACCGTCGGAACCGGAATAATTGATTTCCTCAGACAAAGACGTCCAGAATTCCCCCCTTCGGATAAAAGGGTGGGATTGCACCGGGAAAAACTGACTTTCAGCCCCCGCTGAGACAAATAAAAAGAAAGATATAGCTGACCTCACCCGGAGAGGCAACTCCAACTTCCTAGAGCGAGGTTCGACCACTCTAGGTCTTCCGGTATTATTTTCGTACAAGTACCTCCTCTACTTGAGGGGGGTACTCGATGTGCCAGGTTTGATGCCGTTCCCTGTAGGTTACCGTAATCGAGAAGTATTGCGGTGAAGTGCAGCACGAGTACTCAGCTGCTGCTGCAAACCGCACAGTTACTCCCAACCGTGGTAGAGAAAAAAATGAAGAAAAAAGAAAAGAAAAAGCATACCATGCCCTTTACTAAAAATTGATCCATCTAGGCATTCACCGCCCGCGGGTACTTGTACTCGTACCGGTACTAGTACTCGTACAGTAGTAATCATCCTTGACGAAGATCTTGCGCGGGTTGCCTTCATTCCAGTCCTTGTGTTGTCTGAAGATACGGCTGATACGATACTGGTATGAGACAGTACCGGTGGGAGGGATCCAAAACCATGCTGCAATCCATGGTTCAGAAGTGGCGGCATGTATGGTTGGCTGGCATCCGAGTAAGTTTGGGGTAAGGCGAGTCGATCCGAGGCTTCCTACTTTATTTTACTTTCTTTGGCCTAGTTTTTTTTCTAATTTTTTTTTTATATCGAGACACCCCAGCAGTGAAGGTTTTGGGTAAGTTATCTGTGCTGGGGTGGGTTCTTACCCACTTATTAGGAGCGGGTGCCCAATTGCTTTGGTACAGTACTTGTATGATAGTCTTCTCTGGCCTCGGGCGATTGCAAGAGGACAAGCCACTCGAGTGGTTGGGTCGGCTCGCGTCAGTTGAGCCAAGTGCACTTCTTGTATCCCACTTGAGTTAGGGTGAAAATGCCAAGGGAGCGCAATATTGTAGTGGTACCTCTGAGAGCCCTGGACCCAGGGCTCGTGATAAGGTTACAGGTACTCGAATATGATAAGTCTTATCGTCCTACTGTGGCACGATGCCATAGCTAAGTCTCTACTGTCCTTCAAGTCAGGACTGGTGAGATCCACTGACTTCTGGGCACTTGGTTAGCAGCCAGGCAGTTGCCATGGAGCTATAAGTTATGCATCTGAAACCGACCTACAATATCGGTATTTCTCGCTATCGTGATCGCTACACTTTGTGTCTTTAGTAGGACTTACAGTAAATCGGGGCTTAGCAGACACAAAGTGCACATCTAGTAAGATGTGCACTAGACCTTGTATGGCATCGCGTGACGGAAAAGTGTGATCCAAATGATTGCCAGATCGACCCCTCCGGGACTCTCAATTGTGGCCGCAGAGTGCACGAGTGATAATATGGCATCATATACCCGAACAGCTAATTATGGAAGTAGTAAACTAGTGAGCCCACTAGTTCCGCTCGGAAGGCTTCCTCTCGATTGTTATCGTGATTGAGGAGAAGAGCGATGCACCTGAGCCCTGTCCGTGCGCTGATAACCAGTCGGAGTATACGGCCTTCCGTCAGCACTCCAAAGCGATGTGTCTACCGTTTGCACACACATTGCAACACGTGTGAGAGGGCAGACGGTGCATACGAACGATGGTGGTCACACTATAGTTGGCCTTTCCTTCCTCCTTTCCTGTTATTCATATCGCCGAGCTTTACCATCCCATCCCACAACAGGGCTTCCGAAGCTGAACTGAAAATGCACGAATTACCGTTGCCCTGTTCCAAAACTCGTCATCCGGACCAGCACCCTGTCTGAGGCGGCGCTGAGTTGCAGATATAGAGGTTGTGGACGTGGACGGAGGTTTGGACCGTGCTGGGTCAAAGTATCACTGGGGAGGTACCGGTAACCATGGACACCTGCAGGATGTTGGAATCCCTGATGAGTGCCACGGCCGGGACCGCTATTCCAGGGCAGAGAACGGTGGAAAGGAGGCCTTTGCTGTGGAACACCGCCAAACACGGTGAACCATTACAGCTTCCTGGCTGCATTGGTGCGTGCGAGAATTTAGAGTTGGCAAAATTTGATCTTTTAGGGGGGGCTCACCAAATCATGTCCTCGAATAACTTATCAACAATCCTAATGGAGAAAAATAAAACAGTCGGGAATTTAGGTTCGTTTTTGGACCCCATTGCCGTAGCTGAGGTCAAGAGGTCACCCCAGTATTCATGCGAACAATTGCCTGTATGAATCCGGATGGGAACGGATGTGTGCAAGGGTGTTTGGCAAATCAGGACGATACCTGTGCCCATAAGTGCAGTGCCGGTATTGTGGACAAATAGGGCTTGGAGCACGGATGCTGGTACGACTCAGTCAATAGTTTCCACGATTACTTAAGCAGATGCACCTTGAGCAAGTGGTAGCGGTCTGGATCGCCGCGTTATAGTGGGATGCCGGTATCTCATACCCCTCCCTACAGCACCTCTGCAGTACGAGCACAGCACAAAGCAATGACGAAGCCGATGCTCTTAGGAATGAAATATTCCGCTCCAACTGGGCTGCCGATACTTTGAAACTTTTAGCTAGTTTGGGCTTAAACCGGTATAAATAACATAAGGTAGCATCCAGAGTTCGCCGGCTACCCATCTCCCCCACTTCAACCTCACTGCAAACCTTCCCCCCGGGCTCTTTTGCCAGTGTACTTGTACCTGCTGGCAGCTGCACATCGGATCGGTTTCAACAATTTATTCACTGAGACGCTGATCCTACTGTCGATAGAGTTGTCAACAAACACGGTGGAGATGTCGTGCCTGCCAGTGCACCCCTGAAGTGTTTCCGGGCGGCTCGACCATCTGGTATCCGCTTTTCCCTTCCTGGTGAAGAACTCAGACCTTCCCTTTCCCCAATATAACCAGGGCTGGGTTTACACTTACCCGGATGGGTTCAGTGGCTCCGTTCCCCCTCCTTGGCGTACCCCATCGGATTGACCAAGAAATTCCCGTCCTGCCTTCACTTCCCAGACTTTACCGTTCTTGAACTTCCTCTCGCCCAACGCAAACCTGAAGATCCGGTACCGAGTGCCTCTTTCTTCACGCCCCTCAAAGAGAGGCATTCCTCTTGAACCTTCAGGTTGTCCCATTTTCCGTGTCAGAGCTTCTTGCATTTTTTCTGTCCGCTTTGATCGTCTGCGTTCGTTAATTGAGCCCTCTTCTGATTTCTCCAATTCTTGTCCGTTGGTACCCTCACCTACGCCCTCCCCTGCACGGGTCCGCTTCTTCACGTCACCTCCACCTCCACCGCCTCCTACCTCCACTGTCTGTTATAGAAAAGGGGCCATTACAAAGGTCAGCAAGGGATTTCGTTTCTTTTCTTTTTTCTTTTTCTTTTACGAACATCTCTTGATTGGCCACTGTTTTTTCCGCTGCTTTTTCTTGGTGGGAGAAATTCAGGTCTGTGATAGCATTCCCGCTGCGCTGCCTCCGAGCTAGCGTCTAAGTTTTCTTTGCATTTCTTTACAATTTTTTTTTTTTTTTTTGTCAGGTACAGTCAGCAGAGAAAGAGACGAAGCTTCGGCGTGGTGGATCGTGTTATTTTTGGTTGGTCGAAAAGCTCCTGTAAGTCACTGCGCTGCAGACTCCTCTAAGCCCTGGGACTAGCCCAATCGCACTCCCCTGAACGACAACAATCAACTTCTTCCCTCGATTACTATTTTCTTCATTCAACCACTGCCCCTCCTACCTCTTTTCCGCCTCACAACCACAAGCGGTCGGAGGGTCGCTGTGGAGAATAGAATCGGCAAAAAAAAAGATTCAAGAACCCGCTTCCCTCCCTGTCCATTGAGCTATTCCTTGTCTTCCGGCTCGCTCCACATTCTCTCGGCTGTGTAACAACTTCTTGGCTGCTGACACCTATCTGAACCTCCGTTCTCCTGACCACAATCATAGAGCTCGCGGATACTTTTTTGTGCACATTCAATTCCGTTGCCCTCTTTTTCAGCCACCACTCAATAGGTCCTTTTTGAGAGGTAACCCGGAAGCTAGCATCACACTCAAGGGTTTCCATACCCTCGATTTGGTACCTTTCTATTGACGCTGCATCCGAGAGCGGTTTGCCGATTTCCCGGCTCCTCTTGCTACTCGCATCAACCTCATATTGATACGCCACGATTGTTCACAAATAGATACTTTTTCTGTCAGCCAGCCGAAGGTCACCGGTTCGCTTTCATTTTTCTTTTCTTCTTCCTACCAAAGTCGGCACGGCGGCTGCCACCCTTAATTCTTTCCCCTCTTGCATTCCTTCATTTCTTATTGATCGGCACGAAAGGTATCTCATATGCCTATCAAATTCCCCAAGTTCTCTAGAAGAAAATCCGTTGGGAACGCGTTAGAAGCTGGTTACGAGCCCGCCAATCCGGACAATCAGTTCACTCCTTCCCACGAGCCCGACGAAAGCAGGCCCACTACGTACGGCGGTGGGTACACTGGTACTCAGCGTCAGAACCGGTATGAACAAAGTCCTCCGCTCCCCTGGCTAGGAAAAGCGAGATCCTTACTAAAGGCGAGCTTTCGTAACAGAGGAAGCGGACACACAAACGGCTCGGGGTATTCAGGTTCTGAGTACTATGATTCCACTGGGTCTTTGAATAGACTAAGCTCAAGCTCAACACTTCCATCTGCAGACGCTCCGCGTACACCTGCATCGGTCGACGATCCTCGTAACCAGCCTGGCGGACTTTACAATACTGCAAAGTCACCAAATTCCATTGGTGCATCGTCTGGGAAACGCTCCTTTGGCGGCAATTACGGTCCTACCTCACCAGGACGAAAAGACAGCATGTCAACAGCGACACCCCCGAGATTAGATACAACCCTTGACACATCCTCTCTGTTTGGAGAAGACATGTTCTCCTTCACAACATCTAAAGCTACGGCTCGTCCAGAAAGCAGCGGTGGAATGGGTCACACAGCACCAAAATTGGCATCCAGCAGCATCATCATCAACACCGTAATAACTTTGTTCTAACTTATTATTATTTTCACCGGAAAGCTGACATTGAGTTGCAGAGCGATAACCACAATGATATCCCCCCAGTACCGCCTCCGAGGTCGTACAATCCAGCCACTTCGCCGACTGCGTCACGATTTTCCTACGCTCCATACAACAATATCTACGCTAACCCCTCCCATATGGACGGCGATCGACCTGGGGTCACTGAATACTCCCCCTACGGTTGGGATGTCAAGGATTCGGATGAGCTGATTGCCCCAACAATACCGGCTGCCAGCAACAACTCTCCGCGTAATTCACGGAATCTTACCCCTGGTCAAAGTCTCCCAACACCCAGTCATTCGTATGCGGACTCGTTAACCACACCATCTGCACGACAGGGTAGGGGACCTAAGCAGCATCCTCCAAGAGGCGGAAGCGGTGATTCTTTAGGGTTGAAGCGGACTAGTGCCGTCATGCGTCGACAATCTTTTCCGGAAGACGAGGATGCCGCGTTAGTCGCGCAAGCTGTTGCCTCTCACAAACACCAGCAATCCCAGCTTCAAGGACGTCCTCAACCCCAAAAGTCCAGTTCAACTCCCCTGTTAGTTGGCTCGGCCAAAGGTTTAATGGATAAAGCCAAGGACAGAGACAGTGGCTGGGATGAAGGTGTGGCTTCTGGCTCATCATCACCCAACAGCTACCCCGGAGAAGGCTCGTCTGCTGCGTTGCGTGATAATCGAGGAACTAGCCCTGCAGCTTCAAAAAGAAACGTTAATACCGATCACGCGGGAACTGACGCCATATCTCAGACCGACAAATCGGGAACCGGATTTTCTGTTCAATTGAGCGATGGCAATGATATCGATTTTGATTCATCCATCTCCGCTTCAGCTGCCCTGGCCGTAAAGTATCAAGAGACCGAGGCCACCAAACCTCAACAAAACAAGGTTATGACGCCCGCACAATTCGAACGCTATCGCCAGCAGCAGGATCAACAGCGAAGGTTGTCTGGGGACTCGGCTGACTGCAATGAATATGACGGAAGTGAGAGCTCGGAATCCGAAGAAGAATCCGAGGCGGAAAGGAATCGCGAAGCCGCGAAACAGCGACAGAAGCAAGAAGCGCATCTTGCTGTCTATCGACAGCAAATGATGAAAATTACGGGATCTCAGCCCGCAGAGCAGCCGCTCGGTATGAACTCACGAGGTGCTTCAATGAGCACATCAGCTTTGCCTTTGAATACCTCGATGCCGCAATTGAGCCTTCCCGGGCCTGGTTCTAGCGAAAAAGACTCGGAGGAAGGGGACGAGGAGATTCCCCTGGCAATTTTAATGGCCCATGGGTTTCCGAACAAAAACAGGCCACCAACCCGACTCTCCAATGCTAGTTCACAGCCTAATCTCCGACAGGCGGCTCAAAATCAACAAGATCCTAGATTGCCGCCATTTGCTCGAGGCCTACCCCAAGATCCTTACAACCTTGGTGCAAGCATATTGCACCCTGCAACCAGGATGTCAATGGCATATGGTGCGGGAAGTGTATCTGGATCTGTGGCTGGATCGGTCTATGGAGGCCCTTCGGAGACACCTAGCCCTCGACGCCCCGGTGGATTGATAGGCGAAATCATGAGAACCGAGGAGGCAAAGGCCGCGAGAAAAGGCGGTACTGCTTCAATGGCATTCCCTGCGCAGAAAAATCCCTTTCAGACGGACCCCTTCAGACCTGCATCGCCTGGTGGCGGATTATTGGGTTTGGGCGGCGGCTCGCAACATGGTAATGCTGGGATGATGGGCATGGGTGGAAACCCGGGTCTTATGGGACAGATGGGTATGGGCGGTGGTACGAATGTGGGCGCGGGCGGAGCACCTGGGATGCCTATGATGGGGCCAGGTGCCGCTCCGGCTAGCCAAGGCGATGCTATGCAAATGCAGATGGCTAACCAGATGCAACAAATGATGAACATGCAGATGCAGTGGATGCAGATGCAAATGCAGGGCCAGCAGCAGCAGCAGCAAATGCTATCGCCTCCAGTGATGGGCCAGCGCCCAATGAGTATGGCTGGACCTGCCTCAACTGGTGTATTTTCACTCGGTGGACAGCATCAACGGACCATGAGCATGCTGGAACCCTCAAACATGCCCTTTCAACAGCCGGCACGCCTACCCCACACTCCGTCAGTAGCTCTCGGTCAGCGAGGGTCAGCGATGGGATCTTTACAGCCACAGGGCTATACACCCTCCATTGCCCCATCGGAACGAAGCACTGTTGGACAGCCGTCGAGATACAGGCCTGTATCGTACAACCCCGCTGCTGCCGTCAGCCCTGCCGGCGCTAGAACGGTGGCCGCGGTCTCAGGTTCTGGCCAGGATTGGGGCAAGAAGCCACATGGACCATCACATCTCAAAAACTCGGGCGGAGAGTCGGATGACGATGATGAAGGATGGGAGGAGCTCGAGAAGAAGCGGAAAGAGAAGAAGGATGGATGGCGGAAGAAGAAGGATACCGGATTCAAGGGGATAATGAGTTTTGGATCGACATCTACCTAATGAGCAGTACTGGCCATGAAGGAGGTGGTTACGAAGGCGTTGATATTGACCTTTACTTTTCTTGTCTTTCCTCATTTTATGACGTTTCCTGTTGAACTTTCTGCATTTTTCTTCATCCTTTTCTTAGAACAAAAATTTCGGGAGACATTGATGGATGGAGCTCCTGTTAGCAGCTACATTCAGGCGCAGAAAAAATGGGAGGTACGCAAAGAGGCTGGCAGCAAATTTCGATTGGTCTCACGCTCATTATTCACACACTGGGCGACCATTTTGCTTCCGTTGGCTCGTCTTTTTGCTGCTTATCCGAGTCCGATCGAAACCATATGACCGGGGAGGAGGAAGGTCTGGGGCGGCCGAAGGAATCTCTCCATGTCCCTCGATGAACCTCGTTTACCTTGGGTGAGGGATGAGGGAGGCCTTTCTCGTATTTCCCTTCAATATTTAATGTAATTACTGTTCTTCGGCGCCGATGTTGATGCTATTATATCTCTCGTTTTTCTTCTCCCCTCCCCCCCTTTTCTACTTTTTTCTTTCTATATGTAAATGGGTTCCTCCAGTCCTTGCGAGTTTTTCATGCCGATCAGCACTTGATTGAGATTTTAATGGGGTGGTGAAGTAATGACTTTAGGTTTGGGTGTCTGACTTGTTGGGAGAGATGGAAAGGGGGCATTGAGGGGTACGTTTTTTTTTCGTATCCGTTTTCGCCCAGCTTCCCCAGTTCTCCTCTGCTTATTCTCTCTATTCCGTCGTCTGATTTGAATTACCTCTCCTCCCGTCATTCGTTACCAACATTTTTTTCCGCTTTACACCGGCCCAGAAATTTTTTTATCCCTAATGTTTGTCGGATAAGAAGTTTAGGACAATTTTTTACGCGGAAGAGATCAGAATCTGGAGTACTGCTTGTTATAAAGCATTGGCCCTTTGGTATTTTCTCTTTCTGTATGAAAACTTTTTTTTCTTTATATATAATGCTGGGACGGAGCTTGGATAAAGGCCAGGGTGGTGGAGGAAATTAATCATAATGTACAAAAAGTGGGAAGGTGAAGTTGGTGGTAAGGAGGAAATTATCCAGAGGGGAAAGAAACGAGATGTCCCTACCACGGTAGTATCTGCTGAACATGATTATTTGTGGTGCGTGCATGTCCAATTGGTATCGTATCATACCTTTGTGTGGATATCATATGAGGAAGGAAGCTAGATTTGTACCCCAAAGTACAGTTCAGCGTAGTAAATTTACCAGACAGAGGGGTTGAGTCATCGTATTAAGGCACGAAACTTCACTCCGTGTCACTCGAGGGAGGGAACTCTTTTGAAGCAAGTTATGGTAAAGAACCCAATCCGGACGAGTTCCAGGGGTAAGGTTCGTCCGATCTTTGTGCCTGGCGTGATCTCCTCTCGTCTTGTCTCATTTATCATATGAAAGTCGAGCCTTCTTCTGCACCGTAGTTGCCGTGCGTTTCCTTGCCCACTACTGTACCTTGGCCAGCCGGGAAGGGCTTAAGGGCTTCATTAATTCATGCAGGTCAGCGGGAGCGAAAAGAGGATATTCCCTTTTGGTTAGCTAATTTAGTTTGGAGAAAGAGAGGGAGAAGGAAAAGGGGTGGGGATGATGGAAGGAAGGAAGGAGGGAAGTTTGTTTCCTCATCCCCTACTTTGGTATTGTGATATGAGTGGAAGAGGAGTCGTTGTATTGTTTTTATTCGCAGATTTTTTTTTGATGGTCCTGTATTGTTGTATTGTGATTGGACGCGGTTGGGCTCGAGCTGTGGTATGGTGCTGCTTCGTTCTTTTGTTTCATTGAAGTGTATAGTACTTGTATAGCACTGTATCGTATCGTACTGTGAGACATCCTCATATCATGATCCGGTTCTGGGGATTTCTTCTGCTTGTTTTTTTCTTTTTCTTTTTCTTCTTCCATTTTCTCTTGGAGCTGCCGAGGGAAATCTCTTGAGGTGAGACAATTCAAACGGGTCTTTCCTTCTACCGCACAATACCGTACTTTACAGTGCTGTGGTGAGTACAGTACAGAAAACTCCCGACTTTTCCTTTTTTTCTCTTTTCTCTCATTTTCCTTTTCCCCTTCTCGCCAAACTCCCATCCTTACCGTGCTCTACCGTACCCAAGTGCCACTCTTTCATTTTTTATTCCTATTTACAGCATCCTTTTATTCTTCTCTTCCTCCTCTCCTTCGTCTCCATTTCACAGCCACTAGTCCACCAGCCGGCCAGCCAACAAACAGGTTACGCATCATATCATACGTCGACAGATAGACAGACAGGCGGACAGACAGCTAGCAAGCAAGCAGGCAACCTTCCACTATTAACTGACTACCGCGCCTTCCATCACACTCTCTCCTCCTCGCCATCTGCCAAACTTCCTTTTCTATTTCCTTTCTTTCTTGACTTGACTTGACGGCTTTGCATAATTATTCCGGAGCTTTAAGATTGTCGCTAGAATACCGGTACCCCTCAGATCGCAGAAACCCGAACCCGCTTTTTCTCCGTACCAACCCACGCACACGTTTACAGCATACCCTCCCTCCTGACCCCCCCCCCCTCCCCTAAACAGCGCTATCCTCTGGTTCATTGTTCGCTGCTTGCTATTTTGCAAAATAGATTTTGAGATTTTATTTTTGGGAAAGACACATCCGTCAGCGGTTTTCGTTTCGTTTCGTTTTTATTTCCCCCTCCAAGTTCAAACTTTCACTTTCACTCTCTTTGGGCGATGCCCCCGAAATCTAAAGCTGAGATACAGAAGCAACGGGCAAAGGTGGGGTCCCTTTTATCCCTGGTTGAGGTAGAGGGAGGGTGTGTGTTTGCAGGAAGCTGATTTTGTGGGGCACTTGTAGCTTGTGAATTCTTACAATGAGCTCTTGAGGTATGGTGCCCCCTTGGGTGGGCGAAACTAGGAGTGAGGGCTAACGATGGAACGGTTGTGGCGGTGGGCAGCGAGTTTTCCTCAAAGGATTTGAGGTCGGTGGGGAATTATAATGTGGGGAGATTGATAGGGAAGGGGAGTTTTGGGAGGGTTTACCTTGCTACGCATAAACTGACCAATGGCTCTAAGGTAATCTTTCTTTCTTCACCCTTGACCTAATGAGGCTCCTAGGGAGGAAGAGTACGGCGAATTGATCTCAAGATGGTGTCGCCCTCTGTGTGTAGGTCGTGTTGAAGTCTGCGCAAAAGGACGACGCGAATTTGGCCCGGGAGATTCATCACCACCGACAGCTGGTGCACCCGCACATCGCGAGGCTCTACGAGGTTATTGTTACGGAGAGCTTGGTTTGGCTGGTGTTGGAGTACTGTTCCGGTGAGCTTCCGTGCTCATTCCAGGCTGTGGGCGGGAGTTTGGAGGCTACGGGATTGCTGATGTTGGGGTAGGGGATGAACTTTACAACTACCTCATCAAGAACGGGAGGTTGACGATGGATAAAACAAAGAAGATATTTGCTCAGCTGGTCGGTGCGGTTTCTTACGTGCATATGAACAATTGTGTGCATAGGGATTTGAAACTGGAGAATATTCTGCTGGATAAACATGAGAATGTACGAATACCTGCTACGGCTACGGGAATTGGTGGCGGTGGTGGTGCCGGGATCGTGAGGGTGTGTGCAGGGGGACTCGGTTGCTGATGCACTGCTCTGGATAGGTCAAACTGTGCGATTTTGGCTTTACAAGAGAGTACGAACGTCAGAAATTGCTCCAAACCTTCTGTGGAACTGTCTGCTACTCGGCCCCGGAGATGCTCAAGGGCGAGAAATACATGGCGCATGGTACGAGATGGATCTGCTTTTCTCCCCTTATATTTAAACTATTCCATTGCTGTTTTCCCTTGGCGATGCGACATGATATTGATACTTGTTTGAATTCGGCAGCCGTTGATGTTTGGTCGCTGGGTGTTATTCTGTACGCATTGCTCTGTGGGGAATTGCCGTTTGATGAGGACATCGAGGACGACACCAAGCTTAAAATTCTCAAGGACGAGCCTAAATATCCCGAAGACTTGCCCGAAGGTATGTTTAGCTGAAGAGGGGAACCGAGCCACAACCCCCTCATCTCGTATGTTGCTTTTTCCGTGGCTGACAATCACTGCCCCTTCGCAGACGCCGTCTCGTTATTAAAAGCATGTCTCATGAAGAAGCCGGGTTTACGGCCGACCCTCGACGAGGTTCTGTCACACACTTTTCTTTCCGAGTATGCTCCAGCACAAAAGGCCATTCTCGTCGTGCAGCCATCACCGGCGTTTTCGACCCGGTTGGAGAAGGATACGTTACATAGGATGAAGGCTGCTGGGGTTGACATAGACCAAGTGATAGAGAATGTGCTTGCCAAGAAGTGCGATGCTCTTGCTGGGTGGTGGGCATTGTTGATAGAGAAGGAGGAGAGGAAGGAAAGGAGGCGACAGAAGCGGAAGATTGAGAGCAGGAGAATGAGTGCGGCTTCTAATCTGGATCCGACGTTGTTACCTCTAAATGAGGAGTCGGAGGACCAGATGAGGCGGCAAAACCGTGAGTATATCGCTTTTGCGTCTTCGATGCACGAGATGCTTACTGCTGCGCCAGCCGTGATTATCTTGCCTGAGCGAAATCTTGGAAGGATTCCCAGAGGACAGACACCCCCGTCCCCTACCCCACCTCCGCCGGTCGAGAAGGATAGGGACTATGGACCGTACTTGAAGCCGCCGCAGCAGGATAGGCAGGTTATGTCGTCCCCGGATCTTCACTCGGAGGCGAATGGTGGGAAAGGGAGGCAGAATAGGAAACATGCTCTATTGTCACAGCTTGCGTCTTTAAAACATTGGTTTCTGGATTCGGCCAAAAGGGCGACCTCTCCGAGTTCCAAAAACAGCTCGAATCATAATTCATCGAACCACAATGCCAGCCACGGCTATCAGCATTTTCAAAATGGACTTGGTTCACGTTCGGGAAACGGCGCGCGAAGGAATTCGAGAGGAAACGCAGTGTATAATTCTAGCTACCGCGGAACCCCACCACCGAAACGAAATTCCCTCTCCCCGGGTCCGTTAACACCGCGCACATCTTCGTATCGTCGGCCGTCAGGTCGAGGTCTTGGTGGACGAAACTCAACTTCTTCATCGGTATCTTCCATCCGTTCCTTCCATAATAAGACACATTCGAAGGCCTCCTCCACATCATCTGCGTCTGTATCAAGTATAACGTTAAAGTCTCCTCGCTCGCCGCGCAACTCGATTAAAGTCCTGCCCGCAACTCCTACTTCTTCAACCTTCCCGTCACACGTCCGCGTGGTGCGCTCCTCGCCCAATGGCCAGGGATATAACGAGGCAGCGGTATTGACATCGGGTGTAGCCTTTGCCAAGCGGAAGAAGAGCCCGTTCAAGGGGCCCATGCTGAATCAAGCGGCCCTGCACGCAAAACGTGAACATGCAGGCGCGAGGATCGCTCAGAAGCGGAGCAGGGGGAATATCATAGAGGAGGAGGACGAGGATATCGAGGAAGTGCTTGAGTTTATAGGGCCGGGGGAGAGTGAGGATGAGGATACGCTTAGGGGCAGACATAATTAGACTTTTTTCTTTTTTCTCCATTAAATTTTCCTATCTCTATATTTGTATTTTCTTATCGGATCAAGTCAGATCGGATCGGGCTATGGTAGTCGTGGGCGCTTTCTTTTTCCCATCGTGTTTTTTCTTGCGTTTTTACTTTGTTTTGTCTCATTTTATTGGGTAAGTTAAGTTACCGGTGTTTCATACTGCGTGCTGGATGCTAACTAGGGTTTAATTTTACATATTATACCTATCATACTTGGCTGACAAACCACCTGTGATGTGATCTCCAAGTTTTTTCCTTTCTTTTCTCCCACTCGCAAGGAAGGAGAAGAGGTTTATGTTCGTGCATTTTACGATGGATTATTTTACCTCTTTCTATTCTCTCCGTCTTCTCGTCCCTATCGTCCGCTCGTAGCTGGCGTGGCGTTGAGGGTTTTGGTTTCTGTCTAGAAGTTCAAATACCCATCTCCAGGCGCGTTGTGGGCGGGGGGTGTGATATAGAGGCGTCACTTTTTCTGGTCACCGCTATTATTGAATAAATTTTTTTCTTCTATTATTCAAGTACTATTAGGGTTTTATTAAATTTTTGTCATTATCGAAGTGGGGTTGTTGTGAGCGTCTGCGTGGTGGTGTACTGTACAAAGTATAGGTCAATTGTGTTTAGGTTGGGGCATTAGACTAAAGTAGGCCGGAATGGGGGAGAGAGAAGGGGGGAAGGAAGGGGGAGAAAGTGGAAATGATCACGGCAATGTTAATTAGATTTGATTGGCTGGTTGTTTCCTCCCTCCCTCGCTCAGCCTGTGCAAATAAAACAGGATAGGTTGCGCGGTATTATGGTATAATGTCCGGACGCGTTACCCTTCCACTCGGGCCGTATACCGGGGCTATCCGTGACCGGATCGGGGGAAGGATGACAAAAAGTGAGGGCTCCGCACGAGTATATAGTCACCCTCCGCCGGTATCCCGGGGCGGGGAAGTCGGAGGAGAGTGAAAGCGGGGCGAGTGAGGCTTGATGATGTGCCCGAAATTCCGAATCATGGCATCGCGCCCAGGATACCGATGACAGTGACGAGAAGGTGGGGGGTATTTCGAGATTGGGTATGGTATCATACTCACCGGGATTTGGGTAGGGTTGTGGAAGAGTTGCACGGCGTGGGTGTGATATTAGGAGGGGAGGGAGAGGGGGAGGTGTGATGTGCTATATCTTCGAGGCTAGGGGGGAGAGGAGGGGGAGGGAGAGAGTGCGGGGGACTCTGGAGGTGCCCGCCCGGATGGCAAAAGGGGTTCCCTGGAATCGGTTCGGTTTATTGATGTGAGGATCACGATGTGTGCTTTTAATACTCGATATTCCCTGCTGGATGGGATTAATTCGTGAAGAGATACACTTGAGGTACTGTACGATCCTACGCACAACCTTGGAAATCTCTCGCGTATACTAAGAAATAGGATAAGACTAGAGAAAAGAAGAAGAAGGAAAAAAGTGAAGTTCTAAGGTCAATTTTCCTCAGTGCGGTGGATGGATTTTTTTTTATCAGTCCAACCAAGTTTCGTATTTTACTCATCATAAGAAAACCGAACAGTAAACCGGAGACGAAAAGTGTGAATGGGGTTTCACCAGGATATGCCCTCTTTTTCTTCTTCTTCTATCATATCATACGCCTTGACAAATTGTAGCGATTCATCGTGGCCGGAATGCAGGTAGACTCGACGTGTGCCTTGCTTCACCGGCCAAGCTTATTAATGGTATCCCAGGCTCACGAAGCATTGGACAGGGAGAACCGTTTGAAAATGCGACTTTATTTAGGGAGGGAGGGATGAGAGTACTCAAGACTGGTATGATGTTCGAAAAAAGTGCTCCATGTAGTCGGGGTTCGGGGGGTGGCGGGACGGTCGTGAAGGGGGTGCTGATAGGAACGAGATTCACACCCTGACAACCCTGGGGATTTGGAGCACAGTTGGGATCGAAGGGAAGCATTGGTTCGCACTGGCCCTTCTCAGTGTTTTTTTTTTGGTCTATGATATGGTGGCTGAGAGATTGAAGTATGTAACTATCTAGTACACAACACCAGAATGTTTTCTCGGCAATCCCATCGTCCAAGACAGGAGTGAGTGATGCCCTATGAATACTCCGATCTTGAACCGGAGGTACAATAAAAAACTGAAAAAAAAAGTGCCGGCTTCTCTGCTCGTATGCAAACCAAGTCCTGTGGCTGGTTAAGGAGAATGAGTACCTACATATGGGACTTGTTACACCAGAGCCTAGTATAGATACCGGTCCCACTTTATGTAGTCAAATTAGTATCTTAACTTCATGCTCTAGCATTCTGGTTCACTTAAACGCTTGAGTCAGGATGTAGTAGATGAGGGTGAATTATTTTAGTGTATCCAGCTTCAAAGAGAGTTTGTAGGCCTCAGGCCGGGTATGCATCTAGGCCATAATTAACATTATTATAATGCTATATCCTCGTGTACTAAGGGACTAGGAAGCCTGCTAAAGAGTGGGACACAGCAGGCTATTAATCCTGCAAAGACTGGAACATCATAAAAGCTCGAGGGTAGATAACAGAATGCGTGAGTGCCAGGGAGCAGGTTGTGTGTATGGAGTTCTAAGTCTACTCCTGCACTGGCAGTTGTATTGCCAATATGTCTATGTTACTAGCCATCTTCCCTCCTCCCCTCTGTATGGCAGGTTATGTAGACATTGAGTGCAGAAAAACTTAAGCGAGGTGTTGGTAGCAACTGAAGACTGAATAACCATACCCACAATACCTAGAATGCCCATAGTTGCTAAATTAATCGAAGAGAGAGAGATAGGTATAAATATTGTGGTTAAAGTACCTCCCCAAAAGTGTTGGTGAAATGACCTTTTTACACCAAAAATTGGTAGGTTTGATCAACCCCCACATCTGGAATTGCTTCAAATAATCCTTACAACCCATATAATTATTTTCACCTTCACTGCAGCTTTTACCTGACACCATTTATTTTGTCAATTTATTCTATGGGGCTAAACTACAAGTCTCCAAAGTTGATAATACCCGTTGCTATGCCATTTTTGTATGTAAAATGAGGCTTTTCAGTGAAGTCAAAACTTTAGGACTGCATAACTTCTCCAATTCTTCCCCAAAGTTATTAAGAGTTGAGTAGGAGTAGGGTGGGATTATTGTAACTACATACCAGAAGTCAGGTTGTAAAATCTTTTGTGGTTCCTAAACTACCAGTGGCAAAAAATCAATGTTTTTGGTGTAAAAAGCCCATTTCACCAATACTTTTGAGGAGGTACTTTAGTTGATAAAATAATAATTTATAAAAATATATGATTCTGGCCGTTTCTACTGTGAACCTTAGATTTTGCAACGGGGGATGGCTTGGCACAAAAGATTATGTATATAAGTTCAACTCTTTTCAAGTTCTTAGTTTTTAAAGTTATTGTCAAGTTACTACAGCCACTCGTCAGAAGTGTTTGTGAAACATGCTGTATTAGTAAGCTGCCTTGCTAAAATCAAAGTACAACAACTACCTGCCTACAACAATAAAGCTACCTGCCTGCAACAATAAGGATATCCACCAGTGATAGTGAAGATCCTGTAACTGTAAAGTCATTTCTATAGGGATCTGTGCTGCTCATATTTTTTTAAATTTTTTTAACTATAATTAGTTAAATATAAAATATAAAGCCCTTAGTATTTAAATAAACTAAAAGAAGACTAAACATATAATGAAAAGAAATGATTAATACTAAGAAGTTATACAGATTATTAGCTAGTATGTCTACTTCTACTATTTAAATAATTGTTGTAGTTATAATCTATACTATTTAATTATATTACTTATCATTGTAATATACAATAAACCAATTCACTATTACCTCATGGTCAGATCTTTCCAATTATACAATCATAATCAGGCAGGTCTCAGAGTACTAGCACTTCTGACTAGTGACTGTAAGATATCTTAAATTACCAAGTATTATTAGTCCAATGATTTTTCAAGCTTAACTAATTTGAATTCAATAGGATCTAAATTATGATAATAAGAGAAGTGCATTTCAAAATGAATGCACTGACAGTCATTTCAGAATTGGAGAAATCAGGATGATATTCTAGAGTTAATAGAAAAGGGTAATTGTTATCTCTTCTTAGTATTAATCATTTTTCTGTACAATATGTTTAGTCTTCTTTTAGTTTATTAAAATACTAGTGGTTATCTATTTCATATTCAATAATTATAGTTAAAAAAATCAAAAAACAAGAGTAGCACAGAACTTGATAGAAATAACTTCACTGTTGTAGGATCTTTACTGGTACTAGTGGGTATCCTTATTGTAATGAGTAGGTATAATAGTGTCACGAACTGTGACTAAGCAAGGAAGATTTCACATAGCTCGGATTTCCGAGTTATAGGTATGTTGGGATTTCACATGATGCACACTAGTGCGCCATAGGTTATTATGTTTACCTGTTCGTGACTCACAGTTGTGAGTCACACGATGTTATGATTTTCGCACATGACTCATACTTATGAGTCATGGGTTTCACTCAGATGACGCGAGTTGCGCACCTGACTTTATTATGTTTTGATTGGTTTAGGCATGTTGCGCAGTGACTCATAGGAGTCGTCTGATGGATTTCATATGACTCATGGTTATGAGTTACAGGATTTGCGTGACGCGAGGTGTGAGTCACGCCAGGTGAAGAGCGACTATATAAAGGGTCACTAGGACCCTGAGTATGAGCTCTTCACACGTTCTTCTTGTTTATTTCCTACCTTCAAGTTATTATCAATAAAACCTACTTTTACACTCTTTAAGATTTATCTTAAGAAACCCAAGAATTGTCTTTCCTCTCAAACGAGAAAACTATTTCTCCTCCCACGTCGAACGATTAAGTCCTAAGTAAGGACTTAGGAAGTATAAGAAGATAGGCGTGAATAAGATAGTAGTCAAAGGACTAGACTATCAGGATCGTGTAGGCACAGGCCTGAGAGCTATCATCTTACAGAGAAGTATCGTTACCTGT